AAATTTCTTTAACAAGAAAAGATGAATCACAGTTGAATTTGATCTCTAAACTAATACAATATTATTATCATAGTAAAAAGTTCATACGACTTTTAAATGATGCTGCCGTCACATGTTCATGAATATCTGTCCCTCTTGGTCTTAATAATTTTTTTTAGTAAATATCCCATTGGAATAGGATTTTATTCAATCTATCTATGCCGACTACTTCCTGCGATCCTCTTTTTGCGTTTAAGTATGCGCTTGCGTTTCCATGTTATAAATATATTTGAAGCATTTATGTTGACTTTTGCAGCCGAAAGAGATCTTAACTCTTTTTATTTAAAAATCTATTAATGTCAATGATGACAAGCAAAATCAATGAACAAGTGATGTTATTCATATTTTACTATATATAATTCATGACAAGCGTATATATAACAACCTGATAAATTAATAATAAGTGTGATGTATATGACTACGTTTTTCCCGGAGAATATGGTCATGGAGGTTTGGGTGAATCTACATTCTATTTCTACACTCTACACGCAGAATGTGAACTAAATCATCGAATATTTTAAACATTCAAAAGACTCAAGCTAACCTGGTTCACTATCTTATGGATAGTATTTTCTGGCAAGTACTATCTTTCGAATCGATAGATTTAGAAGCTCCAGTTTCAGTCGCTTGAACATTGAAAGTATTTCGGCATATTCGTGGAGTTTCTTCTCCATTCTCTGACTTTCCATATTCTTAGTAGTTTGGTTTGTGACATTCTCCTAGATATAATTTAAACCAACTAATATTAAAAATACGAAGATCATCTGAACTATATTAGCTAACATATTATGAATTATTATAAACAGGCACAATGTGTTTGTCAAACTTAAAATCACTTACCTGACTTTTAGCGTCAACCGAATTTTAACAATGTTCTCATAATTCTCACAGTTGACTTTGAAAGAAAATGTGTCGAAGTTTCTTTTAGATTCTCAATCAAAAGATACCATCTCCTTCTCCTCAACCTATGTGTCAAACTCCTTATCCCAAGTTTGGTCGACATCCCGCCATATATTCCTAATTAGAAAAATGAATCAAATAACCCAAAGGTAATATCATCAATTTAAAAACAATCGATTGTACGTTTTTAGGGCAATTCCTCATTTTTTGAAATTTCACATCCTCAAAGATCATATTCTCCAACTTGCTTCTAGACTAAGGTTTGAAGCTAACCATGCATTAACGTTCTTAGGAATAGCACATCAGTAAATTCTAAAGATTTTTGTCTCTTGTTATTATGTTTAGCACATCAGTAAATTTGACTTTTACCTTAGTCGCTCACGCTGTCTTAGCCGCCGTCACGACCACAATCCTTACGATGTTTCTCCTCGATCTAAACATGCGTTTGATGGTGGCTTCCATCGCAGGTATTTCAATCATTAGATTGATTTTATCAATTTCTTCCTATTTTAAACTCTTCTAAGTTCTAACTTTCTCTCATCTCTTCTTCTTCGTTTCTATTTTTTAACCGCTTCCAAGGAGGATACGACGAACGGAATCTCACAAATCACGCAAGCCACACTTGACCAGATCCGCGAGCATGTCTTGGAGTTTTGAACTTCGTTATGCATCGCGGGATCGAGCCATGCTGCGTTCTTCGTATCCTTTTACGCTCTCACTGATGAGATGGTGAAACCCTTGATCGTTATTGAATACCTATCTGTTATTGTGGGATCTGTAGGTGTTATATACTTATCTTTCCTCACTGATCCTTTGTCTTCGGCCATAGTGACAATGGTGTATTGCGCACTCCAGATTCTCTACTCGCTCGGAAAGATGGTACACAAGCTCTACGACGGTGGGGATGACGATGGCCAATGAGAAAAATGTTATTTTGTTTTTTTTGGGTTTTTCGGGGTTTTTTTTGTCTGCTGTTTGTTGGTTTGTTTTTGTATGTCGCTCGAGTTTTTTGTTTGTTTGTAACTTTCCTAATGAATAAAATATTAACAGCCAGTTTTCACATACATGTCGATCAATGTGGTTTCTACATACAAATTGTACCAAAGCTGATTTCTTATTACATATCCGTGAATCGCCTTTCCAAGTTTAAGCAGACCCGGTTCAGCAACAGCTTGAAGAAGACTACTTATCGAGCTGGTATTTGGCTTCAGACCAGCAATTTGCATTCTCTTCAATATCGCAATGGCACCTTTGTATAAGCCTTTATATGCGTGGCCTGACAAAAGAGAGTTCCATGTCACTATATCTGGTTTCAAACCACATCTCTCCATTTTGTCTAGGAGAGCTATGGCATCATCTACATAACCACATCTCTCAATTCCTATTTTTTGAAATTTCACATCCTCAAAGATCATATTCTCCAACTTGCTTCTAGACTAAGGTTTGAACCTAACCATGCATTAACGTTCTTAGGAATAGCACATCAGTAAATTCTAAAGATTTTTGTCTTTTGTTATTATGTTTAGTATAAATTTGGGGTTTAACCAAAATTTATTGTATGAAAACTTGGATGAACGTTAAATATTGTTGTTGGTTATTTTAGCTATTCTCATTCCCTAACTAAAGGACTATTTGGAAATATTGGGAAATTTGTATCAGTTCTCCATGATGATAATATATTGCATCCTATTAGAAAAATGGCCAATGAAAAATCTGATAACATTTGCATGTTGTTAACTTATAATAGATTTGAAGTAATATTGTTAACTTTTACAGCCGAAAGAGCCTTAATTATTTTTATTTAAAAATGTATTAATGTCAATGTCTCAATGATGAAAAGCAAAATCAATGAACAAGTGATGTTATTCATATTTTACTATATGTAATTCATGACAAACGTATAACAACCTGATAATTTAATAACACGTGTGATGTATATGACTACACGTCTGTCCCGGAGAATATGGTCATGGTGGTTTGGGTGAATCATGTACACTCTACACAAAATATGAACTGAATCATCGAATAATCTGGTTGAATTTGGTTCTTCATCATATCACGGTAGAAGATTCAAACCACAATTCTTTCGATAAAGTGCATGTATGTATAACACTTATACTAGTTAAGCCCAGCTCATGACATTATACTTGAATTAAATATTAAAAAAAAAAACTGTATGAAATATCTGTGATCTACGAATTCATGAATTGGAATTTGTCTCCGACTCTCTCCAGCTATTCTACTGAATTGCACTTATGGTTTAATAATAGATATTTACTTACTTGAGTATTATATTTATGATTTAAAGTCTTTCATGATAATGCAAAGTCTTGTTCTTCTTACCTACTGATTAAGACTGAATTTAAGATAAAAAAAAGACCAAAATTAAGACATGATGTAAAGGGTGGTAACTAATACTATTCTATATTTTATTAGCTGGCTCCCATTTGCCGATACGCGATACGAAATAAACCATGCTGGCTTTGATATCAGATGGTGAAAAACACTTACGAAATAGCTTTAATATGGTATATTCACAATTTACAATATTTTTAGTGCCTTTGTGCACATTAGTGCCCAATGTATCACGTATTATTTCTTGATTAAAATCTTACTTGCAAATAAAACAGGGGATTATGTAATAATGAATGATAATATAATAGTATTAAGTGGTCAACACTATGAAGTTAACGGACACTCTGTTCTGTCCCTTGTTAGTGGCCTCTCTAAGCCCATAGATAGTTAATAAGACCTTGTTGGGTTAATTAGATTCTGAAACACAATTCTTGCATAATTTTGGCAAGTGATAATTTCCATTAGGCATTCTTTTGTTTCGTCTACCAAACCTTTTCCAGTTGATTGACTCGGTCTTCTTGCTCTCATATGAGGAGGCAACATCGATGATAATATGAATGAGAAAGTCATGGGGTCTTCATGGACAATGTTTTGCATGAAAAATCATGGGGTCTTCATATCTACATAGAATTTTGTGTGTTTAATCAATGAAAACGTTATCCACATATATATGGCTTTTATAAGGCTCGTTTTAGATGAAGATATGTGTCTTGCAATATAAACCGAAAGCTGTTGGTTTTTCCCACGAAAACAAAGCATTATCATTCGGAAGGCTCTGTGTACTTATAAGTGAGATTGTTTGAAAATTTTACCCCAAAAAAAGAGTTAGTATGAAAAGATGTGGGTTATCAAAGAAAATGTGCTACGATTATATGGAGCAATTGAAAAGTAATAAAAGATTATTACATTTATAAACTGAATTCGGATGTCGTACAGTCATTTGACACTAAATGTAATAGAATTAACAATATAACTGATGATTAAGCAAAACTTGTGTATATTGTTTTTATGTACAAAATACCAAATGTGATAATGGTGAAAAGGATACTTACATTTGATTATTTGAGAACCATTCATAATTTCAATTCATCCGGAGGTTTTATCTTACATAAACAAATTTATTAATGTAAGGCGTTTAAAATAACAATCTCTAGTACTCTCCCGCGCACATAGATAATAAATTTATAAAGTTAAATTAGATGCTCTTGACTGTAAAAGTCCCAAACAAGGTTGGAAGTGAAGTCTAAGGAAGGAATCGACCTAATTTTCATTTTCTAATCAACCACAAAGCTACTGTGAATCTGGTTTTCACATATAAAGTTTTACCAAAAAAAAAAAAGAAGACAACGAGGAAAATGCCACAATACAAGTATACAACAAACACACACAAGCCAAGAACATCAAGTTACGGTGCTGTCGGAATATTACACACAAGCCAAGATCCCACATTTCAACATTTTTATTTATTTTTACATATTTTTTTTTATTGATCTTGAGCGGGTGACGCAATTAGTGTTGATAGTGATATGACTCAAACAAACTGATTGTAGCCATTGAAGTAGAGTTCCTTCCACAGGGAAAACAAATTCAATAAACCCCACATCCAAAGTATCCAAGATACAGGTGAAACAACAATTTGCGAATTTTTGGATTGATTTAAAGAAAAATAAAAAAGGTGAAAACTTTTTGCTTTTTTCCCTAAAAAGATGGAAAGTAAAGTAACAAGAGGAGAAGAAGAAAATGGAGAGAGACAGAAAGTGGAGAGATTGGTGGAAAAGTTGAAGAATCGTAATAATAGTAGAAACAAGGGTCATCGACCTTCAACACCGGCGCATGTTAGCTTGCTCCCTAACCTTTTCTCTAAACTCTCACCATCAATCGTTTCCTCTAGAAAGCTCGCTGCTGCTTTCTGGGAGTTTCATCAATACTACGAAGATCGCTCCTTCCTCTCTTCTCCTGCTGCTAAAATGCACCGCGGCGCAAACGATTTCGCCGGAACTAGTAATCGCCGACAACGTCACGGCAAGGCGGTGGCGGCGATTAAGGAGAACGGTCTCGACCTCTCTCAGTTCCTCCGAGATCCCTCTCCTGATCATCAGGTCTCTCTCGATATTTACCTTTTTTCTTCGCCAAAGACCCGTTTTTTCTGAGATTCATAAGCTCTGAAGCTCGAAGCAATAGGTTTATGATAATGGGTATTGTGAAAGTTTGGATTTGAAACGTGGGTCGTGATGAGCTGGTGAGAATTGCTCGATGATTTTGGGTGTTCTGGGTTTTAGTGTAGCTTTACTCTGTTCTTGGCTTTTTTAGCTCAAGTGATTGGTATTGGAACTGATTAGGATTCAAGTGTTAAATGAAAAAAACAGATCAAAAGTTACATCTTGTGGAGTTTCATGGGTTTCAAAGTCCTGACTGTTAAGCTAGAAGACACTATGCGTGGCAAATGATTCTGATCAGCTCATTATAGTATACACTTTGAGAATCTTTTGTATCAAAGTCTAAGCCTTGTGAGAAGTTTGTTTGTCTTGAATCTTTACACAATGTGATTTTTTTCAAGTTGGTATTTTTCAGTAAGACTTTATGATTCTTTTCTAATGTCAATGGCTCGCAGCTCGCTTTGGTTTGTGTATTGGTTCTGATAATGGTCATACGTTGTCTCAGCCAGAGAGTGCGGGAAGCCTAAGGAGGCAAATCGGTCAAATGTTGATGAAGCATCATCAATCAATCGAAAGAAACAACCACGCTCTTCAGCCTGTATCTCCTGCTAGTTACGGAAGCTCTCTCGAGGTTGCGACATACAACAAAGCAGTAAAGCCAAGTAGCTCAATGGATTTCCATGGAAGACCGTCCAGAGAACCTCACTACAATCTCAAGACATCAACCGAGCTTCTCAAGGTATTGAACCGTATCTGGAGCCTCGAGGAGCAGCATGCCGCCAATATCTCCTTGATAAAAGCTCTGAAAACCGAGCTGGCTCATTCACGTGTTCGAATCAAAGAGCTTCTTAGGTACCAGCAAGCCGATAGGCACGAGCTAGAAAGAGTGGTGAAGCAACTCTCTGAGGAGAAACTCTCCAGGAAGAACAAGGAAGCTGAATGGGTAAGCTCTGCTAGGAAAGAGTTGGAAGATGAGCGGAAACTTAGAAAACGTTCTGAGAGTTTGCATAGGAAACTGGCGAGAGAGCTCTCCGAGTTGAAGTCTACGTTGTCTAGCTGCGTCAAGGAGCTTGAGAGAGGGAATAAGTCGAGGAAGATGATGGAGATGCTCTGCGACGAGTTTGCGAAAGGGATCAAGAGTTACGAAGAGGAAATCCACGGTTTAAAGCAGAAGAATTTGGTAAAGGAATGGGCGGGTCGTGAAGAAGAAGGAGATCATATGGTTCTTCATATCGCGGAATCTTGGCTTGACGAGAGGATGCAGATGAGATTAGAAGGTGGAGATGGTAACAGTAGCTCAGTGTTGGATAAGCTCGAGTCTGAGATCGAGACATACCTTCAGGGGAAGCCGAGAAACCGCCGGAGCTCACTTGAATCCGTCCCGTTGAGTGCACCACCGCGTGATGTTGACTGTGAGGAAGACTCCGCGGGAAGCGATTCTAATTGCTTCGAGCTCAAGAAAGCTCATGTAAACGAGGCTGATAAACTTAACCAACAAGAGAACAAAGACAGTTTGTGCGATGAAAAGCCTAAAGGAAAGATTGGTAGCCCGTCGAGTTTCCAAGTGAAGTTCGAGGATCAAATGGCCTGGAAATTAAACAAGGAAACTGGAGCCATCGAAGAAGAAGAAGATGCAGAGCTAAAGAACAACAAGAGTAACAAACCAGAGGATGAAACCGATCAGTGTGCTACTACTACGAACAAGAACGATGTGATGGGGGAAATGATTCGGACACACAGAAGATTACTGTCTGAAACTCGTGAAACTGATGAAGCTTCTTGCAGTTACCCATCTTCTCGGAGACAAGCGAGTCCAGTTCGACAATGGACTTCAAGAACCGTAATACCTGATCTTATAGGCTCTTCCGAGCCGTCTGTAAAGTCTTCTGATATTGCAATAGCTCAAGGAGCAAGGGACAACACTTTGAAAACTAGGCTCGCAAAGAGTTCCAAGTCCCGTCTTCGGTTGTTCAAAGGCTAATTTTGGTGGGAAATTAGCAAACGAGAGTTCTTGTCTGATACACACACAGATTCTTGAGTTTCATATTTCATTTTCTCTGTAAATCAGACGCATCTGTAGATTTGTATATCGATTTCATTCTACACATTTTTGGGAACTTGTAATCAAGGATTTGATAAGCTCTGTTTTTGTGTTCATTTGATGCAGAGCGCGAGACTGAGACGGCGTCGTTTACTTTTAAGGCCCAGATAGGCCCAAGTATTGTATTGGGCCTATTGTGTTCAACTTAATTAGTTTAATTTCATCACATTTCTTCTGATCGCCTTCCTCTAGAGAGAGAGATGGCGACGGCGTCGTTTAGGTGGATTCTGCAGCTTCACAGAGATGTACCAAAAGCGGCTCGATTCTACGCGCAAGGTCTCGACTTCTCCGTCAATGTCGTCACTTTACGCTGGGCCGAGCTCGATTCTGGTCCTCTCAAGCTAGCTCTTATGCAATCTCCCAGGTTTTTTCAATACTCAGTCAAGTCCAATGCACACACTCTGTTTGATCATTTGCCTCAATGAATACTTTTTTCTGGGTTAATCCGTCTAAAGAACGTTTGTTTGGTTTTTTTTCGTCAAAATTTTTATCTGATGAAGCTAAAAGTTTCCCGGCTCTCCTTGAACTCAAATTCACTATACTTACATTGCAATTGTAGAGTTTTATTGTTGGATCATTTGTGGAAGAACAAGTTTAATGTTTGATGTTTTTAATTGTTAATCCTGTAATTCAGGTGTTTGTGTTCGATTACGATAGCTGTTTCTATGATTCCTTGTCCTAAAGTCCCAGCCTTTATCATCCTTATTGGTCTCTTACCTTTGTATTCCGAGAGTGTACGATTGCATTTTGAAAATGACACTCTGTTTTTAAGCGGATGAGATGTATGTTTCTAAACTTATATACCCTCTCTTGCTTGTTTGGATTTGGCTTTGTGTGATTACGCTGTCTGTGATTAAAGGTTTTTATTTTCCACCAATTCAAATTCACTACGTCATTGCAATTGTAGAGAATTATTGTTGGATCATTTGTGGAAGAACAAGTTTGCTGTTTTAAGTTGTTGCTCCTTTAATTAAGGTGTTTGTATTCGATTACAATAGTTGTTTCTATGATTCCTTGTCCTGAAATCCCAGTTTACATCATCCCTATTGGTCATTTTACCTTTGTATTCCGAGAATATATGATTGAATATTGAAAATGGCATTCTGTTTTAAATCGATATAATCTATAGTTTTTGCACCTTTAAACATTTTTTGCTCGTTTGAATTTGACATTTTGTGATTATGCAGTTTGTAATTTCCACTGAAAAGACTTTCTTTTTTTGCAGCGATCATGTTGCTGAGAAAGGGAACTCATCGCTTCTATCGTTCACCGTCGCAGACATTAATGCAACAGTGACCAAACTTATGGCACTAGGAGCAGAATTAGATGGCACTATCAAGTATGAGATACACGGAAAGGTAAAAACAACTTCAATCTCTTCTGAAGATGTTCAGTTTCATTTTTTGAGTCTTACTTTCTTAAATGGGATTTGAAGAATTTTTGCGGTTGTTTTTTCTGTTAACTTAGGTTGCAGCCATGAGATGCCCTGATGGTTACATGTTAGGCCTTTATGAGCCTGCATTAATCATATGAATAGATTTTGTTATTACAAATCTTATTCATCTTCTCTTTGAAGCTATTGTTTACTTGTAAGAAACCAAAGTCACTTTTCGTTTTGGAGAAGTTATGACACTCAGGAAGTTAGAAAAGGCGAAACTTTGAGGCCTAAACGACCAAGTGCTTTTCCCGCATATGGTTTATAGGATGTGGCTATCAAGTTGATTGTGTAGGAGATTGTTCTGTGAACTTGGGGATCCAAAACTCATCTCATGATCAATAAAGAGTTGTTCCTCCATAGATAATAAAAAGGAACATAGAGATTAATTGGTAACTATCACATTCTACTCAACTTGTTCTTTGTGGAGATTGGTACATGTTTAACTTGCTCTTTCACAATATTATACTAAAGGAAGCTAGTCTCAGTCAATTTTCCCTTGAAATCATACATAGTAATATCGTGAAAGTGACGCATATTCTACACAATCCTTTGAAATTGACAAGATCCATTGAAGTGGACTTAATGGACTTTAGTGCTTTTGTAGTTGTTGAGCTGTTGACTATGTTTGTTGGTCATCATTTTACAAAACTGCCCCCAAGCTTTGGAGCAATTATTTATATTTATTTTATCTCCATGGTTGTAATTTCATTTTTTGAAGTGGGTTGATTGTTCAAAGATCTTCTTAAGATTATTATGATAATTTGGGGACCATTATGTTTGTAGCTGGTTACAAACAAATAGAACCAATTTACGCACCGAATCCTAAATGTTGGACATTACCAATGCACTTTGATATAGTGCTTAATTACCTAGATATTTTTGCAATTTTCTATTTCTTATAAAGAAAGTCTACATATCTTTATAATAATTGGGAATCCGTTATGTTGTTTTCGAAAATTTTGAAATCCCATTTGATTAAGCTTTAAGATGCCTTCATGCAAGAATCGAATCCCTCCTCTCAAATATGACAAAATACTAGGTGACCAAATTTAGACATTTCCTTACATATTTTCGGGACAGTTAAAAATGGCACTCTAACATACGAGAATACAAGCGTTTGTTTGTATGTTTTTTTTTAATTAAAATTATAATTTTAACTATAAAAAATTAAAAATAAGAAAATTGGGTGATATATCAAGATGTCGGATTAGAGATATGGCTTGCTATCGTCGACGCCAACAATTGAAACTGTGAATGTCGAGGCTCGCTGTATTTCATATAGAAGCTATAATCGGCTGTTGAGCATTTGTAAATTAAATGCGGGTCTAAAGACTCTTAGAGCAAACCATATAGGAAACTTGAGAAAATTAAGTTACATGTGGTGTTAAACGATCAGATCAAACCTAAAGGACATTTTAGCCCAAACAGTCACGAGGTCATGCAATATTTAAATGAGTTTTAAGAATAGCCAGTTATGAGCACCAAATATGGTGTGACAAATCACAATTAAAACAATATTTATATAAAGTTATAGTTCTATATATATTTTCGTCACTCAAGAGAATATGAATATTAAGACTTATTATAAGAAATAATTAAGAGAGACTAAAAAAAGTTATGTGGCACACATGGTTTGTGAATACATATACATGTATGTTATGGAGAATAGAAACTTAGTAATAGTGACAATTATCTTAATATAATTAAAGACAGAAAATACTCGAAAAGATTTGTTAAGTGTACCCAACTAAGCACAATTAACAATTTCACATTCTCAGGTGTTGCTTTTCATCACACTTTATTGTTGTTTATAAGAGAGATTTTGTGATGTCACATCGTCTCGCGCACATAGACACATATACATGTGTATATTTGATATTATATAAACTTTTTTTTTCTCTTTTGGTAAAATGATATTATATAAACTTGTATAATATAATGAGACCTGCATAGGCTGCATTCGTCTCTTCATTACCATTGTCTCTTTTTGGTGTGCCAATGGGACTAAAGTCAAATGCCATACTACACCAACAATATTCTTTGTCTCATCATGTTTGAGAGATGGTGTATTCTAATCCCTAAATTCCTATAAATATATAGTTTCTCATAATTTAGGTGACATTTATTTTCTAACCGCTAAAAAAACTCGTACCGTTTTCGATATACTCATTGTGATTTAGTTATCAAATTTGAAAGTTTACATAATCTAAGTATGTGTTTCGCTAAAGCAAAAAGAGTTAGTTTTATTTTTATTTTTTTCCAGTATGTACCAAAATTACTAATTACTATATTTCATTAAAATATATAAAATAATAGTTAGTTTTATATAATTTCCATAACTGTCACATTCATCTTTTTTTTTTTTTGAATTTCAGTTGTATTTTCATTCCGTTCTATTTCATTCTATTTTCGTCCTAAATTTCAAATACAACATAAATAAAATAACTCTTTTAGTTCTTAAATATTTGTTTCATTTCTGTTCCCACAATTCCATCACAATTTAACGTTTGTCCACCTTATGCATATCGGCTTCTTTAATTAAACCAAACCATTTGGTAAATAAGCTTCCCTCGGTTGTATCTCTTTTAACTTCTTGGTTCACCATTTTTCAGCCCCCTTGACTTGTTTCTTTTTTGGGTTAAGCTTGTGGTGGCCTAGATGTAGCAGCTTGTTGCTGTCTTTTCCCCTGCGTGGGTGTAATTTTTTTGGCCGCAGGGTTGTAACTCTTCTTCTTATTAATGGAAAAGCAAAAAATTTTATAAAAAAAAAAGTTTCATAGTCTATAAATATGTGTCGCGGGACTGTCAACCTCACTTCTCCTAAGACTATGTCACGTGTCCAAAAACAAGAAATTCACACATGTTTATTAGAAAGAACAACGAGTTAACCATTACAAGAAATATATTATAAATGGCAGACATCATAAAGAGAACTGGAAAAAGAGTTTGACCTATATTTGGCATACAATTGTGTGCTTTAAAATAGCATAATTTTGATACTTCTTCAATTAATATAAAAATAGTAGCTTCCTATATAAGAATACACACATACATATAAATATCAACTAACTTTAGCTAATTAAAACTTTGTTTTTTGGGTATTCGGTGGAGATGTGGCATCATTACAAGAATCTAAGCATGTATTTAGTATTCTTCATGGATTATTATAACTTAGATTAAATGATATAGTTTTGATTATTTGTAGATTACACTCAATAACCCCGATTTCACAAAACAATTCAAATTTAAAGTAGTAAACTGCAAATGAAAAAAAGTACATGTAATCAAATTGTAGATCAATGCATGATGATGATGTTGACACTCGTCCAATGTCGATATTAATGTACCATTTTGCCCTCCTGAAGATACCCGTAGTTGAGGGTGGTTTAGTCATTATAGGGCATTTTTTCCAACCATGAAGAAGACATATCTAGGAACTTGTTGCAGAGAAAAGAGATCAAGACCCGAGGTGATGTTGTCGTTGAACACTGAGATCTCTTTCTCTCTCTCTCTTGTATTTGATACTTTACAGCCCATCTTAGGGTTTTTTTTTGTCAAAACCCTAATTATTCAAACACATGTAAATAGATCGTTTTTGAATATTTCATATCATTTTACATAGTTTCTTATAATCTGATTTATGGATTAAAAGCCAGATCAATTTCTGAACTTGCAGTTTCCTGTATATAGTAGCTTGTGATAGCTTGTATACTATTTGCAAGTAAGTCACCTTTAATTGAGCGAAAGCTAGGTACTTGAAATAGGAAAAAAACTAATAATCATTGGATGAAAGAACTACTAAAACCTTATCTTGGAAGATTGGTATTGCTTCTAGTAGTGAAACTTTATTTCATTAGATGCCAACTCATTACAAAGAAAAAGATAAAAATCTTCATAGATTGGACTCGAAGATGTTGAGGGAGGTCCACGACTGAATCCTGCAAAACAAACTATAAACACTTTATAAGTTAATTAAGTGCCAGACTTATTTATAACATATCAGTGTCGAACTTGATCCTGAGTTAGTAGACTTAAACACATGAATTCAATGCTTGTATATATAAATGGAAAAAAGGGAGCTCCCTTCAGTCCAAGCATAGAGAAGTGAAGATTCAATTTTCTCTCGCATCATTCATTCATTTACCATATGCGAACATATTCTTTCATTTGGTATTTGGATTAATGAGTCGAGAGTCAATTAAATCTCACATATTACTCCATGAGTGGACCAAAGAAAGCTCTCTTCCTCCACCAACTCAACATCCCTCACCATATTAACATTTCTACAACTATATGTATAAGCACAATTTGATTATACTATCTAGAGCATAAAACCACAAAAAAATCTAGTGAGATAGCCCATGCTTTTGATTCTTGATGGGAGGATCTTCCTCTATGTGTGTGCTAGAATCAACCTAAATCTTCAAAATAAACCCTAGATGACCATAGATGCAGCTGAGGCACCGTCTGGATTAGTATAAGAATGAGTTTATGTGAAAAAAAAAAAAGAGAAGAGAGATGATAGGTGATAGGAGGAGAGATGTATATAGAGCATCAAGGATTAATGGCTTTATATAGCAAAAACAAAGGTAAACATAAACCGGCAAAACCCACAATGTTTTGTGCATTTTTTTTTGTTGCACTAACAATTTGAAATAATATATATGGTTATTGAATAAGTGGGTGGTTAGTATTTTTCCACGTTTTTTTTATTCTTAATTTTTTCCATTATAAAGATATTAGTGTCAATTTTCTTCATTATCATTTCATGTTTAGTACTCATTTGGATTACTTACTATAACTAGAAGAGTTGATGATCATATGAAAAAATATATAATAATTTAGGATATATATAACGTTAAATTTCCTGGCTTTTGTAAACTCAAGATCAGTTGATCACAGCTAATATATTAATTAATGTAACAATGAGACTTTTAGCATATATATTCATAGATCTTCACAAATCTATATACATTAGCGTTTTATGCTGACACAAACAAGTAAAACTAGTTACATGATATAATTTTGAATGTTAATGATATTTATCAATGAAATCTTCTTAACCAAACCATCAATTCGTTTTCTATTGTGTATAAAATTTTCCAATATACTTGGTGTGAAAATTTTTTTGCATAATACGAAAAAAAAGAAGAAGCTTGCACCAAATGAGACGACAACAAAAAAAATAGAAGCACCGATCGGTTTACATTAAACAAACATGACTACTTCTTCAGTATGCTGAATTCTAAATGAATTTCTTCTTTTCTGTAATCAATTAAAATTTCGAAATTTGCTTTATGTTTCATGATAATTGTCTGCTTTACACTCGAGCGGCCGGACCTTGTTCCCGGGAAATTGCTTTTTGATAAGAATAAGTACATACGAA